ACAGGTTACCTTTTGAATCCTCATGAGACCTTAAGGAAACTCCTCTAACCAATGCAGATTTTTCATGGTTTACTGATGGTTCTTAAAGAATGAAAATGGCAAATCTCATGCTGGGTATGCTACTGCAACTCCTTTGGATTCACTGAGGCAGAACCTTTACCTTTGGCTACTTCACCCCAAAAGCCGAGTCCTGTGCCTTTACTCGAGCTTGCGCCTTAGCCAAGGGTAGAACTGCAAACATTTATACCAATAGCCACTATGCCTTTGGGGTCGCTCAACTTTGGAATATTATGGAAACAACAATGTGTCCTTACCTCCAACGGGAATTATGTTAAAAATGGCTCCTATGTCCAAAATTTATTAGATGCCACACTTCTGCTAGCTGCTGTGGGTATTATCAAAGTTCCTGGACACTCCAGACTCAACTCCATGGGGGCCACAGTAACCTACCTCACTGGTATCTGTGCCACAGATGCTGCTCTCAAGGAAACCAGTAACCAAACCTTTGTCATGGTCCAAAGGGATGTTCTCCAAAATGATAAATTTTGGAAAAATCAACAGGAGATACCCAGCAATTGGCAACAAAGAGGGAAAAACAATACTGGAAATATAATTGTTGCCTTTTTTTTTTCCTGAGATTTTATTTATTTATTTATTTGAGAGAGAGAGAGAGAGAGCACAAGAGGGGGGAGCGGGAGAGGGAGAAGCAGATTCCCTGCTGAGCAGGGAGCCCGATGCGGGACTCGATCCCGGGACTCCAGGATCATGACCTGAGCCGAAGGCAGTTGCTTAACCAACTGAGCCACCCAGGCGCCCTAATTGTTGCCTTAATAAAAAGAGATTAACTCTGGTTTGGGCCAAATAACAATTCAGCCATATCAGAAGTTCTGAAATTTCCACTACTTACAAATGCATACACATTACAGGCACCTGGGTGGCTCGGTAGGTTAATTGGCCAACTCTTGATGTTGGCTCAGGTCATGATCTTGGGGTCCTGGGACTGAGTCCTGTGTCTGGCTCCACATTCAGCAGGGAGTCTGCCTGAGGATTCTCTCTCCCTCTCCCTCTACTCCTTCCCCCACTCGCAGGCTCTCTAAATAAATATTTTTAAAAAAGTGAATACTCATTAAACCACTGGTCTACTGACAAAACGATAGCATCCATAAACCAATGTTGCTGAGAAAAGTTTAGTAAGTCCACAAAAGTATCAACCTCATTTGTCCCACCTGTCCAAAATACAATCTCAGGTATCTGTCCATACTGACCCTGGGCATTTCAAATTACACAATGGACAATTTCAAGTTTGGCAAATGGATTTCATACAACTCAACCCATCTCATGGATATGTTTTAGTTGTGGTTTGTAGGTTTTCTCATGGATCAAACTTTCCCTTGAAAACAGGCCAGTGCCTCTTCTGTGGCTCTTGGAAAAGATTATCCATAGGGGTGCCTGGGTGGCTCAGTCGGTCGAGTGTTCAACTCTTGGTCTTGATTCAGGTCATGATCTCATGCGTTGTGGGATTGAGCCCCATGTCAGGCTTCACACCCAGTGGGGAGTCTGCTTGAAGATGCTCTCCCTCTGTCCCTCCCCCAACTCTCTCTCTAAAATAAATCTTTCTTAAAAAGAGAAAAGATTATCCCTATATGGGAAACCTCTCAAACTTCATAGTAATCAGGGAACCCATTTTACTGGTCAGGCATTTTGACATTTCTGTGCTGTCTGGCCAGTTGTACAACACTTTCATTGTGCACATCATCCGCAAACTTCAGTTAGCAAAAATGCACTAATGGCACTATTAAGACTCAATTGGCAAAACTTCTAGAGACTCTCCAATACCTTGGCCATGGCTGTTAATTCTTCTCTCAGATCCACCCCCTTGGGAACTTATTCACCCTTTGAGGTAGTCACAGGACGTCCAAAGCACTTGGCCCCTGCCTTCGTTGACCCACTTGATAAAGTTGTGTAAAGGCCCAATTACTTCTGTTAAAGACAACCATGGTTTGGTAGAGCCATCTTCTCACAGAGCACTCCCCAGTGACCTTAAGCATCACACTTTGCAACCTGCAGATTCAGGCTGTTGGAAAAGACACCTCCAGACTCTTCAGCCCCACTGGAAAGGCCCTTGTCAGGAACTACTAACCAACCCTGTGCCACCGAACTCCAGGGAATAGACTCTTGGGTTTCTGTAACACCTCTAAAGAAAGCACCAAACCTTGATTGGATCTGCACATCATCTGGTGACTTGAAAGTAAAGATTTCTTGGAACTGAAGAAGACATCTGACAACAGCTTTCCCAAGATGTGCAAAATAAGCCTGTATATCTTTTTCACTGTAGCTTCTTTCATGGGAAGACAGTGCCCATCTGCATTTTCCAAGCCGTGGCAAAAAGTGGACATCTTTTGATTGTGGCCTTTCAGAAACAGCCTCATGATCCTGAGACAAGTTAATTTTCACTTGATCTTTCTTATGGGTTAGAAGGTTTCAGAATTCAGAAGTCTCTTTCATCTGAACTATTAACTAACTCTGGATTCATCTCCAAATTCATGGTCTCTGAATTTGCAACCTTACAGGTTGTACTAGCAGTAACATATTTGCTTCATTTTTTGAGTACTGTTTGTTTTTTTTTTTAAAGGTTTTATTTATTTATTTGAGAGAGAGAACGAGAGACAGAGAGCAGGAGAGGGAGGAGGGTCAGAGGGAGGAGAAGCAGACTCCCCGCCGAGCAGGGAGCCCGATGCGGGACTCGATCCCGGGACTCCAGGATCACGACCTGAGCCGAAGGCAGACGCTTAACCATCTGAGCCACCCAGGCGCCCCTTTTGAGTACTGTTTTAAAACATCTTTGAAGTTCTGTTGTTTTGCAAAAAGTTCATCAGCTGTTGCATCATGTTCATACCTGCACTATCTTCCCAAATGCACTTGGTTCACTCTTTCAGTGTGCTCTTGCAGTATTCGCTAGTCTGTTTTTCAGGGTCACTTTAAACAAATATTTCCAAGAGGAATACATCACTCTGGGTTTGCCTTCATAGGGAGTACCTTTCTCCCCTAAGTTGGAATAAGTACCAATAAATGTTCTGTTTGACTTTCAGACCTAGGGTCCTTGTTTAGAACCATCATACAATTTGGAATTATGTTACTTCTGACTCGTATATAATTGTTTTGTATTTTGTTGACTGTTAAGCTTTTTAATTTTTTTTAAATGATCACCCAATTAGGTGATGCTGGCTTGATGCTTCAAGAATCTGAGTTTCTTCCTCCTAACCTTCCTTATTCCTCAAATGTGACCTTAAGTGGTTTCCACTTGCAACACACTTTCCTTCCAACATAGGACATGACAACCTTCCTAGTACTGAGGAACAAAACCAGTAAATATAAAGAACCTGACTATTGATTGGCAATGCCTTCAAAGAAAGATCTTAATCAAAAGAGGGGAATGTGGAAATTAATAAAAGGAAACCTCATTTAGAATGAAGTCAGGAGGCCAGCAGGGGGTGCTCTAGTTTGGCACTAGTTGTCAATTGCAGACCCAACAGGAAGAGATGGACCTTGCAAGCCAATACTACTTTATTATCCTCACAGGAGGAAGGAAGATTTCTTCCTGCCCTGTCAACAACCCGGCCAATCAGAGACAGTGACAGCTCAGCCAATCAGAAACCTATGTAGTTACAACCCCCAGTTTACTCCAGTGGAATTTTTAGTTTATAACAGTCCTTCCCAACTTCCCCTTTCCTCTATAAAAAAGCATTCTTCACCTTTGTTCTCTGGACCCGCCTATGGCTTTGCTAAAACTCACTTGTCCTGGATTGTAATCTCAGCTATTCCTGAATAAACCCTTTTTGTTGTTGTTGTTGGTAAAATAACTAGCAGTTTTATTTTTAAGGTTAACACGGGAATAAGAGAAGTGGCATCAATAAAGACTCTGCAGGTACTAAAATAATAAGAGAATAGTTTGAAAAGTTTGACTACTTAAATAAAATGAACTCCTTGAATGACACAAGCCACCAATGCTCACTCTAGGGGAAGAAAGATAACCTCTATAGGTCTATATCCACTCTGAAAATTAAATTTGCAATTACAAATCTTCCCATAAAATAAACTCCAGGCCCAATTACTTCTTCACTGGTGAATTCCACAAAACAAGGAAGAAATATCAATTCTTCACAAACTGTTCAATAAAATTAAAAATCAGGGAATACTTAACATAATGTGTAAAGCCAGCATTATGGTGATACCAACTAAACCCAGGCATTAAAGAAAATTAGAGACTAACATCCCTCACGAGCACAGATGCAAAAATCTTAAAAAAAAAAAAAAAGGGGGGGGGAATAAATACGACAATACATAAAAAGAATACATCATGACTAAATGGGGCTCACCTTAGAAATGTAAGGTTGGTTTAAGTTTTTAAAATTAGTCAATGTAATTCATCATTAAAAAGCTAAAAATGTAAAGGAAAAAAAAAAAACCCTATGATTGTGGTAACCACTATCCCAGAGATTCTCTTGGCAATCTCTACCTTCTTGTATTGTCCCTGTTGTGGAGCCCCCTTCCACTTTATACCAGGATTAGTCTGTGTTACCCACAGAAAAAGTCAGGAATGTTAACACATCATTTCCGGGAAAAGGTTTTAACAGATACTGTGGCTTCGTTTTTGTGTGAGCTCTCTACTGGATCACTTGATTTGGAATTTTTTCTCTAAAATGGAATACTTTCAGCAAAAGTATGAATGCAAAGGAATGAGCTACTGATGCACATAACACTGACGAATCACAAGGTAATTATGCAGAGTTAAAGCCAGATACATAAGAGTACGTATTAAAGTGTTACCTGTGTACGTAAGTTTTTCCATAGATATAAAATTTTGGGAAATGCAAAGAAATCTGTAAAGACAGAAAGCAAGATGAATGGTTGCCTGGGAATGGGTAAGGGGCAGAGGGATTATAGGGCAAATCAGGAAACTTGGCTTCACAGGTGCAAACATGTACCAAAACTTATCAAACTGTATACTATAAATGTGTTTATTGCAGAAAAGGCTTCGATTGATTGCTCTGACAGTGACCGTAGCCATAAGAAAGACATAAATATGGGAATCCTGAGAATTTCTATAAACCCTATATCAAAGCCACAGTGATGGAAACATGTGGATATACCTTTATAAGAGTCACATTCCCTATAGTTTGCTCCCAACTCCCAATTAATCAGTATCTCTGTGCCAATTACGATTCCTACCTAGTCTTTTTAGGGGACAGTGACATCCGCCTACTAAATAATAGATTTCAGGGGCATTGGCAGGTCCCAGGGGTCAAGTTCTCATCAAGAGACTATGGGACGCGGGCTCCCTGCTTCACGGGAAGCCTGCTTCTCTCTCCCACTCCCCCTGCTTGTGTTCCCTCTCTTGCTATGTCTCTGTCAAATAAATAAATCTTTAAAAAAAAAAAAAGAGAGAGAGAGAGACTACGGGACTATGAAACATCCCTCTGGAACAAGGGAACCAATTCATACTGCTCCTAGATACACTAGAGGCTGTCACAACTGCCCACTGCTCAGGGTGACCTTGATCACACAAATAATGTCTCTGTCAAATAAATAAATTTTAAAAAAAAAAAAAGAGAGAGAGAGAGACTACGGGACTATGAAACATCCCTCTGGAACAAGGGAACCAATTCATACTGCTCCTAGATACACTAGAGGCTGTCACAACTGCCCACTGCTCAGGGTGACCTTGATCACACAAATAATCTTGGCATACAGGCCAAAAGATTAGGCCCACCAAGATCAGTATTCTTTCATAGGAGGTCTTGAGCAGTAATGCAAGTTAGGCTAAAATGAGAGCTGTTCTTTGCTTGCCATTCTGCTAACACCACTGGGACATAACATTTGGAGCTCTCACAAAAGCTGTTCCTCCCCTCACGCTGGCAGAACCCAATTCTGTTCTCAATACAACCCACAGAGTGAACAGGATCCCCAAAATTATAGTTTATAAAAACTCAGGCATTTGTTGCCAAAACAAACACTATGAGATGGGCAATTCCTAAGGTAGGTGACTTGGAGGCTGGACAAATCCATCATGAGTGCAAAATGAGACCAACAAAGTTCATGAAAAATGGAAACCTCTGCAAGCAGCCAGCAGAACAAAGCTTCCAACCTTCTGACCAAAACTAGGTCATGTCCATGCTTATACCAGCTGGTGGAGGAGAAAGCATGAAGGAGTGAGGATTTTTAATGGGCTCCAGGTACTGATGATCCCTCTAGGGAAGGGAGGAGCAGAGGCCTGCCTATTAGAACATGTTGGGATGACTTATGCACTAGGTGCCATTCCATACATGGCTGGTTTTTGTTCGTTTTTTTAGAGACATGGGCGGTGACAGAATTCTGGCAAGGCTCCAGGACAGGTTACAAAGTGCAACACAGCACCAGAAAGCTTCCCACATAGGTGACACTCAGAATAATCTCCCGGGGGTGGATGCTGAAACGTATGAGGTTCAACTTCCAGCTGATGGCTACTCACGAAGGCTAATCTCAGAGCTTCCCTCTGCTGTCAGTCACTATGTTGAACAAGGAAATAGTGTATTCCCTGCCATCCTAAGGCCTTTCTCCAGTGTGAACTTTCCAATGTCGGATGAGGGAAGCTCTTTGCCTGAAGGCTTTCCCACACTCACTGCACTTATATGGCCTTTCTCCAGTGTGAATTCTATGGTGCTGAACAAGTACATGTTTGTGGCTAAAGGCTTTTCCACAGTCACTGCACACATAGGGCTTTTCACCATTGTGAACTCTCTGGTGTGCAATAAGGTCAGAGCTCTGGCTAAAGAACTTCCCACATGCAATGCACTCGTAGGGCCTTGCTCCAGTATGAACACTCCAGTGTTTAATGAGTCTGTATTTGTGACCAAAGTATTTCCCACACTCACTGCACTCATAAGGCCTTTCTCCAGTGTGGATACTCTCATGCTGAACAAGTGTGGATTTGTGGCTGTAGGCTTTCCCACATTCACTGCACTTGTAAGGCCTTGCTCCCGTGTGGACTCTCTGGTGTACGATAAGGTTGGAGCTATGATTGAAAACTTTCCCACATATGCCACACTCGTATGGCATTTCTCCAGTGTGGATTCTCTGGTGCTGAGCAAGTATGGGTTTGCGGCTGAAGGTTTTCCCACACTCGCTGCACTCATAAGGCCTTTCTCCAGTGTGGACTCTCTGGTGCTGGACAAGTGAGTCTTTCCGGCTGAAGGCTTTCCCACATTCACTGCACTCGTAATGCCTTTGTCCGCTCTGAAAAGCATCCACACATTTGGTGTTACTGTTAGGCTTCCACTTACTCTGAGGGGCATGGTGCTGGAAAATGCTTGAGCTAGCTGGGAAGTCCTTATAACCCTTCCCTGTCGTAAAAGGCATCTCCAGTGGTTCCACAGGGCAGCTGTTCACAAGCAAGGTGCTGCTCTTGTCCCCTCTGAAGGGTTCCTCTCCACTGTGCTGCTTCTGGTGGTAAAGGTTTGCTCTGAAGCGGAATTGTTTCCCACATGCCCCACGCATGTATGATTTCTGCCCAGGGTGTGTTCCCTGGTGCTCAGCCATGTGCAAAATGTCTTTCAAGACCAGGCCACAAGTCTCACAGGGGTGGGCCTTCTGGGTAGAAGGACCTGCCTTGGGAGTCCTGACCTGTGACACTCCCACAGAAATGTTCTGCTCAAAAGCTATCTCCTCATCCTCCATTCCATGCCAACGACCTGAAAGCAGACAAATGCAGAGGACAAGTGCAAATTCACACTGATGGAAGGGGTAGCCTCATTATAAATGTGTCTAATAGAAGTAAGATCAAGGTCAGAACAAGAGGTGCAAGCTCAAGTGAGTAAAGGGCTGCTATGCAGTAGTTGGCATCTAAAGATCACAGAATGGAAGAATCAAAAAAAAAAAAAAAAGGAATGGAAGAGGATTTGATTAGGAAAGGACACAAATGTGGGGTACAGCCCAGGAAGAGCATTTCACCTGGGTACAGGTGAGAGCTGTGCAGCTGTGTCTACTGAATAGCTACCACTGAACTGCTCATATTTAAGGACTTCTTGGGGTATGTGCACATTCATAACACACTAAGTATAGGCCAATGTTGGGGAGCACTGCAGAGGGAGCAGTGGAGAGGAACAGGTGAGACATGGAAGCAGAGGCGGGGAACAGCCAGAGGCCAAAGGTCAGAGCATAAGACAAGTGTGTACATGGGGAAGTAAAGTGTGGGGAGAGAGGTTAGGGAATGACCGGAACCCAGCCCTGACATCACATCCTTCCCCACTCCCATTCCCCAGGGCCACACCCACCCTGAGCCTCTCTGGTCCCGCCTGGAGTAACATCTGCCCAGTCAGATCCCCAGGGCTTGCTGCCCAGCTCCAGTGAGGCAACCCCATGGGACATGGAAGATTCATATCCTAAGAAGAAGACAAGACAGGTAAATGGCCAGCACTGGTCTGGGTAACCCACCACTCAAAGAAGAAAACTAAGTATTATAAAAATAACCTCAAAGTAGAGTCTTGCATGAATAGCTCAGTGATCTCAGCAAGTGGTGACCACTCTGGTCCCTGCAATTCCTGACCCAAGCAGGCCACTGGAAACATCAGCTAGAGGAAGGGGTCAGAAACTGGGGCACAGGGGTGCACAGATCTGGACAGGGGCACCCAGTCAGGGAGAAGACAAGCTCTGATATAGGAAGGACTGGACTGCCCTTGGGAAGTAGGGGAGAAACAGAGACCAGCACAGGGCAATGGGGTGCGTATGATGATCTTACCCAGCGAGGCCATAAGTGCCAAGTTCTCCAGCATCACATCGCGGTACAGGAGCCTCTGAGCCTCATCAAGGAGCCCCCACTCCTCCTGGGAGAAGTACACGGCCACATCCTCAAAGTTCACTTGTCCCTGCCACAATGGGGAGAGCCGAGTCCGTGAGCAGCCTCTCTCCCAAGGACACCCATCCAGGCCCCCACAGTCTCCCTCCTGCATTTCTTCCTACCTAATTCCTCAACTCAGAGGAAATACAGGGACTGGGTACCAATGGTGTCTGCACTCTCCTAATCTCCCTTTGATTACTGTGTCCACCCACAGCAACAATAGGCAGGTGGTCAGAGAGGCACCATCTAACCTCTGGGCCTGGCCTGCAGGGATGCACTGCCCCCCACCACCTCCTGACAGCCAGTTCTCCTGGGGTTGCTAAGATCATGCTACCAGACAACCAAAGTTGGGCTCACCTTTCTTCTTTAAGCCCCCAATACCAGGACCCATGAGCCATCAGTTCACACTACTTTGCATGTGCACATTATTCTTTTGGATCATACTCCGTCTCACAACTCTGGCCCCTCACCCAGTCACTAGCCTCCACCATCACCTTCCTGCATCACTAACTGCACTGCACTGTACATTCTCCCTCCTAAACCTGCCTACACGCCATCTTCTACTTTTTGGATGTCTCCATCATGAACCCTTCCACAGAAGTCCAGTCCTGTGTCCATCAGCTCACTTGACACCTCCACTCAGTGTTCTCTGGAACATCTTAAACTCTTCACATGGGCAACAAATTTAAAATCCTAATACCCAATCTGAGTTATGTCTACCACTGACTCGCCCATCTCAGCTGATGGAGCTTCTACCCTTCCGGCTGATAAGGGCTAAAACCTTGGGGTTCTCTCTTTCTCACATCAAAAAGAAAATCTCGGGCGCCTGAGTGGCTCAGTCGGTTAAGCGACTGCCTTCGGCTCAGGTCATGATCCTGGAGTCCCGGGATCGAGTCCCGCATCAGGCTCCCTGCTCGGCGGGGAGTCTGCTTCTCCCTCTGACCCTCTCCCCTCTCATGTGCTCTCTGTCTCTCTCATTCTCTCTGTCTCAAATAAATAAATAAAATCTTTAAAAAAAAAGAAAATCTGGTCCAACACTTCCCCCACCAACAAGCTCCCCTCTGGCCCATCCCTTACCACTCACCTGGAATGTTGAAGCGGCCTCCTCCCTCGTCTCCTTATGTATACCATAGCTCCCTTTACCCTCACCACACACAGTCTGTTCCCCACTTGGCATCCAGAGGGGGCTGTTAAAACCTGGATTAGATCACCTCCTCCCTCCTCAGCTCCATACGCCCATGGCTACACAACCCTCAAAACGGAGGCCTAGCTTGTCAGCTGGCCATTCCAGACCTGACTCCTGCCACCTGCCCCTGATTCCTACCACACATGCGGAAGGCCTGTTGTTTCTTGAAAACTTCCATCTCAGTCTCTCCTCCAAGTATATGCAGGTGTTAGTTCCTGTACCTGGAACCGCTACCCACATCTTATTCCAACAGTCACCCCCAAATGGGAACCCTTCTATATAACCCCTGGCCTGGACTCAGAATCCTGGGCTGAGATTTTCTCCAGGGTCCTCAGACTCAAGAGCTGGGCGAGTGTAAGAAGAGTGTTGTACGATATACCACAATCCTGGAGACCATGTCGGGGGGGGGGATGGATACGAGCACAGACCCCCTTCCCTCACCTGTATAGGGTCCATAGTTACTTCTGAGTTCATCGGAACCTGTGGGGAGAGGGGGGCTGTGAGAGACAAGCGACCACGAAGGAGCTCAGGCCTATCCCCTACTCCTACCCTGCCACGAAGACCCAGGGCTGATTAACCCCTAGCCCTACCCTCCGTGCCTAGGTCTCTAGGCCACCTAACAGCTGTGTTACCTCGGACTAGGCCTCATCATCTCCTAACCTCCTAACCTCGTTTGTCTGTCCCACAAGCAGTCTAAGAAATGCCTCCAAGCCTTCGGATCGCGTCCTTCCCCTGTTCAGAACCTTCCACAGCTCCCCGCACGCTCACAGTGACGGAAGAACTGCTCAGGCGGACACTGCAGGTGCAACTCCCCCTCACACTCTCATCCTGTCACACGCCAACGGCCCCAGGTGTCCCGAATACTCCGTCTGTGTCGCCTCCCAGGCCTCTGCCCATGCTGGCCCCTCTGTCCGCGACGGCCTTCCACACCCCACCGCGCCGGCGATCAGACAGCGGCACAACCGGGGCGCCCCTGCTGTCTGGACACAGGGGCCTGAGCTGCAGGGACCCGAGGCTGTTCTCCTCCGAGGCTCTGGGTTCAGAAACGGAGGTCGCGGGAGGACCCGAGGGCGCAACACCCACCTGCGCCGGGTCCGTCGGTGCGGCCGCCGCCACCGGAACCTGTGGACCGGGGAAGGCGCGCGGAGGCGAGGGGGTCATTAATAGTTGACAGGCGCGAGGACCCGATCCTGAGGCCCGCCTCTGCTCAGAGGAGACAACGCCTCCTCTCGCGTTCGCTCTCTCGTGTCACTCACGCCTGACACTGCGATCTGGAAACAGACCTAGTGCGTTAATCCAAAAACAAACAAAATGTCCGCTCAAGCAGGGAACGGAAGTCCCACCCTGAGGTCTCCGGCACCAACGAAAACGCCTCTCTCTCGGGCCTGCATTGGCCCAGTACCGCGGAGAATCCTGGGTAGTGTAGTTTCCTAAGCACCCACACTGGAGAGGGGCGTCTGCGCCGCCTCCGGAACTGAGGCCAACCACGTAGCTGGCGGCGCCTAGAAATTGCGTGTCCTTGAGTACTAGGCGGAGCTTCGCTTTCCCTTAAAGGAGCCGGTCCCATATTTCCGGTGACTATAATGTGTAACACGTGGGACGCCTGGGTGGCTCAGTCGGTTAAGCGCCTGCCTTCCGCTGGGGGTCATGATCCCAGAGTCCTGGGATCGAGTCCCGCATCGGGCTCTTTGCTCAATGGGGATCCTGCTTCTTCCTTGCTTGTGCTCATGCTCTCTCTCTCTCTGACAAATAAATAAATAAAATCCCTAAAAAAAAGAAAAGAAAAAGTGTTTCCCCAAAAACCCAAATTAAAAAAAAAAATAATGTGTAACACATTACAGAAATGTTTAGAGATATTATTTCAGGACTCTTTAAGCAGAGAATGCTCACCAAAAAATTCAAAGAACACACCATATGCTAATTTCACTCAGATTTTTATAGCTGGAAGCTAATAAATATTGTTATCAAATAAACTCTTTTTTTAAAAAAATTTATTTATTTGTCAGAGAGAGAGAGAAAGCACAGCAGGGGAAGCAGCAGGCAGAGGGAGAAGCAGGCTCCCCACCGAGCAAGGAGCCCGATGCGGGACTCGTCGATCCCAGGACTCTGGGATCATGACCTGAGCTGAAGGCAGACGCTTAACCGACTGAGCCACCCAGGCGTCCCTCAAATAAACTCTTGTAGCTTGCAGCTCTAGAGTTAGTTTTGTGAGCCTCAGCCTTGAGGATCAGGAACAAGAGAGAAAACACTCCAGACACCTGATGATGTGGAACATGGAGAGGGATGTTAAGCACCGCTAAAGCAGGTGGAGGATGTTTGTGTCTCTGGTTACCTCAGAAATCATTCCTTCTGCCTTTATAATCAGTGATTGTGTAGAACACGTGTAACACTTTTTTACAAGATAATATTTCTTACTCTGTATACAGAGATGTAGTCAATTCCTTATAGGTTATGTTACAAATGTCTGAGAGAAAGGGGATTTACCAAATGTCATTTGGGAGTCAGAAGGGCAATAAGAACAGTCTCTATGCAGAAGAAATAGCCACGAATTAAATTTCTATACACAGTAAAAAATTTTTTTAAAAAAAGATGTTATTTATTTATTTGACAGAGAGAGACACAGCAAGAGAGGGAACACAAGCAGGGGGAGTGGGAGAGGGAGAAGCAGGCTTCCCACTGAGCAGGGAGCCTGATGTGGGGCTCGATCCCAGGACCCTGGGATCATGACCTGAGCCGAAGGCAGACGCTTAACGACTGAGCCACCCAGGCGCCCCTTCAGTGATCAAGTTATTTCAAATTCCACACCCTTGTGAGGCTGTTTCAGCCTGTTAAGATCATCCATTTGTTTATTCTTGTGACAAAATTAAACTATCTGCATAGCTTTTTCTCTTTCTTTATTTTATTTTATTTTTTTATTTTTTAAGATTTTATTTGTTTATTTGCTAGAGAGAGAGAGAGAGAGTGACAGTACAAGCAGGGGGAGCGGCAGGCAGAGGGAGAAGCAGGCTCCCCACCGAGCAAGGAGCCCGATGTGGGACTTGATCCCAGGACCCTGGGATCATGACCTGAGCCAAAGGCAGACGCTTAACCGACTGAGCCACCCAGGCGTCCCTCTTTCTTTATTTTAAAAACTGTCATACATTCAGTTGAGTGTTAATAAGAGATGTACAAATCATGTTTTTTTTCTTTTATAAAGACTCAGGAGGGCGCAGAAGGCAAGCTGAGGGCAAAGCACAAGCTGATACCCCTCAATTCTCCCCCTCCCAGGTGGAATATGTGTGACATTCCTCAGGCACTCCTGGCTGCCCTAAAGCTAAGGGAAGGAAAAACAAATGGTTAAGTAATAGGGATCACAGTCCAGCAAGACATGAGTCTTCCTCAATTTATGTCAATGCAGTGCAGCAGCTCTTTCTGCTCATGGGTCCTGTCCCCATGCTCTAATAAAACCACCTTTTTGGGGCGCCTGGGTGGCTCAGTTGGTTAAGCGACTGCCTTCGGCTCAGGTCATGATCCTGGAGTCCCGAGATCGAGTCCCGCATCGGGCTCCCTGCTCAGCAGGGAGCCTGCTTCTCCCTCTCCCGCTCCCCCCTCTTGTGCTCTCTCTCTCAAATAAATAAATAAAATCTAAAAAAAAAAAAAAGAAGGAAAGACTGTAGTAGCACTAGCTGCGCAGAGAAACTGAAATACAGGGACGTCTACATTTAGGATAGTCTCTGGAGGAGAGTCTGGGGCAGTTCTTGCCCGGATTTCTCCAGCCCGCCCTCTCAGCCAGACAGCCCACTTCTTCCACGTTGGGCTCAGTGGGAACTACATTACCCGGAAGGCGCTGCGCCCCGCGCCGCCCGCGCTCGGCCAATGAAAGTGGACTTTCCTTCGCGTGCGGAACGCGCTGGGCGGGACTTCTGGCGCGGCCCCAGGGGCGGGCGTTTTGGGGGTTCTGGGGCCGCTCTGTGTGATCGGAGGTTTGGGAAGGCTCCTGTGGGGCCGGGGTGACGAGAGCAGGAAGCCGGGAGAGGAAGGGGGTCTGAGGTTCGGCAGCGGCGAGGGATCGGGGTCGGGGGTGCGCGGGCTGGTTCCCCTCCCCGGGCGCCGCTCCGCCCCCAGAGTCCGATGGCGGCGGCCGCGCGGAGGGACCTGGCTCAGGTAGGCGCTGATACCCGGGCCCTCCCCGCTCAAGCTGAGCCCCGAAGGAGCGGTCCCCCTGGGTCCGGGACAGTGAGGCGCTCGTGTCCGCATCCCCGCTCCTGTCAGCCAGTGTGATGGGGCGTGGGAGGGTTACAGGGACAGGGCCTGAGCTGGAGTCCTAAACCTGGGCTGTCCCGTGTCCGCAGGGAACAGCTTGAGAGGGGACAGGTCACAGCGGAAAGGCCGCCGGAGCGGCTGGTTCGTTCTGAGGGCGCTGATGGCCACGGAGGGTTGTGAACAGAGGAGGGACTCGCATCTGTTGCTCAAAGTTTTCAAAGGCTTTTTAGGGAACAAAGGGATCGGGTAAGGAGGGTGGAGGAAGTCCATACAATAGACTACTGGAGAGTTGTGACCGGGCCGGGACCATACTGATGGGTAGAGGGGGCGGACTGATAGATCTCGGAGGGATTTTAAAAACGACAGGATTACCTGATGCATCAGAAGTGGCTGTGAGAGAAAGAAGGGAATGAAGGGCCGTCTGTGTTTCTGTTTGCCTTTTTTTTTTTTTTTTTTAAGTGTTTTCTGAAAATATCCGGAAGGATGGAGATGGAGAGGTCGGTGCAGGGAACAGGTTTCAGGGAAAAGAGTGGGAGTTGGATTTGGGACAGGGTAATGTCGAGTGCAGGTGTCATATGGGTAGCTTACTCACTCACATCTGAAGTCCTGGGAGGGATCTGGGCTGAAGATAGCCAAGAGGTGGTGGATATTGTCCTGGACCATGGCAAGGCCTGGGACTCCTACTTGGGAGGGAGAATCTTAAAGTTCTTATTTCAGATGGGCCTGGAGGGTGGGGCTGCTTTCAGAAGGGTGATCCCTGTAATCCCAAGTGGTTCTGGTTGGTGTATGCAAGAGTGGCAGGTTATAGGGTCTAAGGACTGGGACCGGAATGGAGACTGAGATGTTCAGTGGTGTAGGCTTGCCATTCTGGGCTCAGCAAGCCCTCAAGTCCAGTTTTTGTGGAGAAAAGGAAAGGTCAGTCAGGTGAGTGGAGCAGCCCCTTTTGGTGCTTAAGTTCCCCCAGCCTTCAGGGCAGGAAGGATGAGTAGCTGGAAAGGCTCCCAGCAGGACTGCCTATAGGAGAGTGTGTAGCAAGCAGCCAGGTTGCCACCAGGACTAGTCTCTAATGTTTCCTCAGGCCCAATCCCCTGCTTATTAATGTGTGAGTTTATATGAAGTGTTTATTTAAACATTAACTGGTAAAAATAAGTATGTTTGTATATATACATTTGCACGTGTGTATATATACACGTGTGTATATACATACGTAGGCATTAAAATAACATGGGTTTAACAAGTTAAATTGATGTAAGTGCTTAATAATTGAAGTTTTAATATACTTCTAAGCATCTGATTAAAATTAAATGTCTTTTTTTAAAGATTTATTTATTTATTTATTTATTTTAAAGATTTTATTTGACAGAGAGAGACACAGCGAGAGAGGGAACACAAGCAGGGGGAGTGGGAGAGGGAGAAGCAGGCTTCCCGCCGAGCAGGGAGCCTGATGCGGGACTCGATCCCAGGACTCTGGGATCCTGACCTGAGCCGAAGGCAGACGCCTAACCGACTGAGCCACCCAGGCGCCCCTTAAGATTTATTTATTTGTCAGAGAGAATGAGCACAAGCAGGGGGAGCGACAGGCAGAGGCAGAAGCAGGCTCCCCGCCAAACAAGGAGCCCAATGCAGGACTCGATCCCAGGACCCTGGGATCATGACCTGAGCTGAAAGCAGACGCTTAACTGACTGAGCCATGGAGGCGTCCCTAAAATTAAATGTCTTAAATATCACATGCTTTTAGTTAAAAGGCACATACAAAACACATTTTCAATACCTATCAGTTTATTTGCACTGAAAATGTTGACAAAGGTGTTAATTATGAGGACAATAAGAGTCACTACTTAGTACTTGACACATAGGAAGGAATTCAGTACAGATAATAGCCCCACGGGGTGGGCACCACTATTATCCCCATTTTACAGATGACAACACTGAGGCACATGGGGGTTGTGTATTTATCCGAAGTCACACAGCTGGTAAGAGGCATCCCTGAGGACTGAGGCCCAGATGATATGAGGGACTTGGGTGGGCCTTTGTGGCCCAACACTGTTGCCTGCTTCTCATGGCT